TGATGATTATATTAACTTAGGGACACATGACAATTACAAATATGAGCATAGAGGAAAAGGAATAAAATTGGCTCATATAGTTCCTGTTTATTTCAAAGTGTGTTTGTTTTAAGCCTATGGTTTCAGGTGGCAGAATTTGATCGAAAAAAGTACTTTTCATAGCCTTTCTAGCTTTTGTTTTCTGAGGACACAGTTATGATATTCTCTGCATCTTTTATCTTTAAGAAGGCTGTCCAAGACAGGTGATTTTGCGTAAAACTAAGTTATCAGCAGTGGGCCTGAATTTCAGAAAAGGCTGAGAATGCACACACTGAAAAAACGATTCTTTCTCAGTTGTCACCAAATCAAGATCTGAAACCCATAGTCACTTTCTAAAGTTCTGCCCTGTAGGTTTTGGTTGTAGCTGTATAACACAAGGTTAGTAAAGTTGCGGCAATGCCTTTGAAAGCCAGAAGTTGCCTTCAGATGTGTGCACGAGAACAAAAGTAAAGGTTCCTAGAGTCTAAAACTCTTAGCACAGGAACCTTTACTTTTGAAATTGAGACTTGGCCCCTTAAGCACTTACGGCCTACTGTAAAATTTTTCCCGTAGCTCTTCTGAGATGAATTCAACTGTCAGCAGTGGGACATATCTTCCTCATACTGATAGAATTCAGTGTATCTGGAATTTCTGTACTTGCAGCTTGCCCTTTATTTGAAGTTAGAGGGGACTTGTTTGCTTGCTTTGTTGAGTAGTGTCTGGCTTTTCTATGTCTGGCTTCTGTGCTCTGAGCCTATATTATTTGGTAAAGTATCTTTAGAAAATCTTTTTATGCTATGTTTTTTTTTCCTACTACTTCCCCTGGGCACAAGCAGCACAGTAACATGCTGAGCTGCTCGCTCTTTTGCCTGAAAGATTTATGTTTAGCAAAGGCGGTCTTCCAGATTGCAAAATATGTGACATTTGCGCAATGTCATGGCTCATTTTTGTGGCCTGCAGAAAACTGCCCTGTAGATGCTGTTGTAACAGGGAATTTTCTCTCATAGTGTCTGGTCAAAAAGGTCATACTAATTGGTAGGGCTCAAAACAAACAAAAATAATCTGACAGGGAAAGTAAACTCAAAAGTGCCAGCCTTTTAATACCTATGTCAGTTGTAGCAGAGCGTTCTGGCCAGGAGAGGACTCTTCTGTAATACCCACAGAGCTAGGAGATAATAATCATACTTCCTAATACTTCCTTAATATGTTACCAGTATGTTTTCTTTCCTTACCAAGGGTAACCGTGATAGCCATGGTGCCTACATACTCTCTGATGGGGCCTTTCAGAGGACACATGAGTCTCAAAAGTAGCCGTAAGTATTCAGATTATTACTTGAGGGGTGCCTGCGTGCTCCAATGTTGGAATCACAACTTCAATTTTATGATTTTATTACAGGTACAAATTTTTATCATTGAAACAATATAAAGCAGATCAGTACTTATAATACCTGTTACTACAAAAATCTCATCTGCTTAATTAATGCAACCAGCTTTCCTTTTCAGGATCTTTACCAAGCAGCTGTAGAAGACCCATAGAAAGTCATTCTGCTGCCCGCAACTTCCCTTCTCAGAAATGCTGTTCCACCATACCTTCTCCAGATCCATATAGCTTGGAAGCAGACAAAAAATCCCCCTCATTTTTATCTGCTTTGTACAAAGTCCAGGCACAGTCAGGCACTTCACTCTCTGAGTGTAAAGTGCTGCATTTTGGGACCTACAGGGTGTTATCCTACCTTCCTCCTCTCCTCACCATGCCAAAGGAACCCAGAAGGACAGAGACAAGGACAGCTGCTGTGTTCCCATCACAGCAGTCTGTCATGCTGGTTACCTATACAAAGTGATATATATATATTCTCTGCAGGGAACAGTAACAGAGACACACCTCTGTTAGATGCTCAAAGCAGAAGCCAAAACTCAATGCCTGCTAGTGCTTCCTCTAGCTGAAAATATGGAGAAGTACTTACCTGTAGGAGAGCAGCTTGGGCTAATTATGCAGCTGAACGAACCAAAGAAGAGGATCTACAACGCATTTGTCATTGTCTAGGCCACTGCACTAGGAGATCGTCTCATTGGCTATTGTATATTATCTGTACCGAGGCAAGCACCTGGGACCATAGCCAAGGGCAAATATTCTGCCTTATTAAGCATGAAACACACAGAGTGAAGAGGTGGTCCCTCTCCCCTCCAAATTTAGGCTCTAAACACAAGATGGATGCAAACAAACAGATGCAGGACCGTAATTGCTTCCAGTACTAGGTAGCTGTTTCCTTGCTTTGCTAGAGGATATTTCCCTTCTATCAATTCACAAAAGGCAAAGCCAAGCACATTGCAGAGCTGGCTTCCACTTACTAGTAATGTGATGGGTGGATAAGAATTTCATATTTTCAAGCTTTTGAGGCTGTCAGTAGATGAGGTATTGATTATCACTAAGCATAATTTTTATATGTTGATTATATATACATGTAATTTTGTCCACCATGTTGTGAAATTTCCACTTGCAGGAAAGAGCAGTTGGTAGTGGTATAAAGATAATCTTTATGTGTGTCAGTATAGCCACACTGCAGTTACAGTTGTCTCTTGAAAAAGAGTAAACTAGTTGAAATGTTCTTGACTTGTATAAGAAGCCAGAAGTAACGGCTTTCAATTAACAGTCCGGTGAGGAGCAAAGTCACCTCTTGTGTTTTTCAAAGTGTATTCTTGTTTTTCAGCTACATGGAAAAGACACGTTTTATCACTGTCATTGTGTATCAGTCAAACTTTAATACTGCTACTACTGGATTTATGATATAAGATTATATTTCTGGACATGATAGAACCTCCAGACATGATTTGTAGAAATAATCTGTTGCAATTCAATCAGTGGAAACTAGGTAAATTAGTCATCACACAACTATACATTGAAGGCTATAATAAATTACTAGAAAGTCATTACAAAATAAGAAATAAAAAGAGTCACTGCTGAGAGAGTTGTCACTGTTCTTTATAGCTCATTTGTGGATCTGTGTTTCCTGGAGACCTTTCCTGGTATGTAGAAGCAAGGTGTAAACAAGATCATGAAGATATAATAGTACTCAAAGTTATAGAAAGATTTAGCAGAAGCAGGAAGCTTTTTATTAGAATTCCTATAGGTAAATCTCCACTCATATGTAGAAAATGTTGGAATTCTTAAATTTTGAAAGCTCGAGTAAAGCAACTGGCTGAACGTTTCGTATAAGTCAGTCCTACATTGGACACCAGAAAATTCAGAAATTTGACTCTGTTCAAACGTGAGCTTGAGAAATCTGCTTATCTTTACAGCACACAAAAGGACTGTTTGGGTTTGAAGTGACAGGTCTTTGACCCATATTATATCAACATAGCTTCATACAAGGCTAACAAAATTCCTAGGGTGTTTCTAACAGTTTCCCTCATTTTAACATGTTATGCAAAGATGTAAAATAAAATGAAAATCTGTTAATAAGTGGGAATTTGCCAGTGAGCTCAAATAAGACCGCTCTCTCTGCAGTCTTTTTTGTGATATTTAGATGACCCCCTCATTTTAATGTTTTTTATCCTCACAACATCTCCTTTGAGATATAGATGTGTTCTTATATCCTCTTTTCAGAGGAGAGATTGAGACACAGAGGGAGGCTGAGTGACTTGCCAAGGATCAACAGAAAGCTGCTGGCAAAGAAGAGACCTTGCTTTTTCTTTCTTACATAGGAATAACCACAATGTAGTTTGTTGCACAATGTTAGTAATTTTCTGGACCCAAGACAGAGTTAGATTTTATGAAAGACAAAAAATTAAATTAAACTACTACTGCCTTGTGTATCTTCAGCATTTCAAATTCAGGGCTGTAATTCATTTTGAGAAGAATGTTATTTTTATAAATGGATTTTCCATCCAGTTTTAATCCTCTGATATTGTTTGGATTATCACATTGTTCTATCTTGCTCTCTTTTTCATTGCATATATTGAAATAAGGCTGTCATTGCAGATCAGTGAAGGATTTGAGGCATTTCCCAAACTAATACTTTCTTCTCCTTAGAGACAAGACTCTGTATTTGTTGTGATTTAGGGTATTGCTATTACTTGAACTCAGCAGAGCTGCCACACTTTACACCAGCTAGGGATGTTGCTGGATATTTACTAAAGAGCTTGGTCCAGTTACTTCTGCCAGCTGGAGTTTACAGAAGAATTGGCAAAACTCATGAAAAACTCATGAAAACTCATGAAAACAAACTTGTGAAAAAAAGATTTATCATGGAAAAAACCATAAAATCTTTTAAACAGAGTGGAACTATTTTAACTATTTGAATTCTGTTGTGTGGTACTAACACCTATGAGTGGTGTTACTGATTGAAATTGAACTCATCGTAAATGCTCATGATTACTAAGTTTATGAACTTTGTATTTGTCTGCTTCAAATATCAGATCCCATTGTGGTACCTGTCCAACTGAATTTCATTGTGGCAAGACAGAGATGCAGTTGGTCAGCATTCTGCACTTTCTCCATTGTTTTATAACAAGTATACAGTCATTATTTCTATTGATGTCTCTACATGTGTTTACATGGTGGTGTAAACACTCTGACTGTGCTTACATGTTCCATGAGCAATCAGAACTGATGGTCCCGGAGGTGAGTTAACACTAGCCTTCTGCAGCTGATCGTGCTGGGATGTGATGCTGTACCTGGACAGCCTATTGAAAGCAGAACTTCATGCTGATGCCCGTCTAGGAGACCTCTAGCTACTCGAAGGAACACATTATTACCTAATACTAAACAAAGCAAAGAAATATGGTATTAGGTCTTCTATCCCACTCTCTCTTTCTCCAAAAGATGACAAAATAAATTGAATATCATCACACTCCCTGGCAGTGAAAAATAGTTTGTAGCACTTTCTCACTTGGTAGGCAAGAGATTTAGACAAGAAAAAGCAACACAGCCAAAAAGCAGCCACATCAAGGTTAGAAAGAATAATTCCCAGCCTCTCAACCCAATGCCTCCTCTTCTTTCAAAATTCAATACAGAGTTTGAAACTAAGGCATTAACTAGTATGGTACATTAGGGACATGAAGGATGGAACACTCAGTCATTTACTTCATTCTGTCACAAAGCCATATCTGAATGGGTTGGACTGACTGTCTCAGTGTAAGGACTGTCCTACATGTGTGGATGAAAGGCCAAAAGCAAGTTAGATTTCTAGTCTCCATTATTCTGTTTATTTTTTAATATTATTTGCTAACAGGTTTCCATCTACAAATCCTGTCTGATGGTTTGAGAAAGAATCCAGAAATGGAATTTTGTTCAGAAACAGGTTGAAGTAGAATGACGCATCTCAGCCTCACTACCAGTTTAAAATTTAAAGGAAATGAATGCTTATGTGTTTCTTGTCTTTTTCATTAGGTTAATGAACTCTCTGAACCCATATATTGACACTTTCGTCAGATACAGAGACAGATTTCTTGCAATTTTCCAAGTCTTGTAGGTTAGAGATTCAGACAAGTGTCATGTTCACTTTGTGCATAATACATTTCTGTTCTACATTTGGGGTTATTTTCTGGGCCTAGTTCTGTCTTTGTTTAGATTCAGTCCATTTTTCTTCACAATAGAGTGGTAGAAATAGGCCTGCTATTACCAAGCTGTAAGATATTCATATACAGTTTTTACCTAGGTTTATCATGTTACTTTTTGAAATAAATTGAAGAAAGAACGTTGACTGACTTCATTTTACTGCAAGCAGGAGAGGATAAATATTTACATGTTTTTAGAGCTATTACTGCCTGCAACATTTCTTGCCCATTTAATGAAAAAAGTTTTTTTCCCTCTTGCAGCTTTTTCTCCCGAATCTTCCTGCAGGCTCTCAAATCAGTACATCATTCAAGATCATATGGCTGCTCATTACAAGAAACTGATGTCTGCCAAAGGTTTGTAAAATCTTTAATGATGACAACATCCATGTGGCTGGTAGCTAAAATCATAGTAAAAGCTATGCTGATTGCCCTCACTTTGGGCTGGCTGCTGAATTTCTCCCCCTTTCTTTCCCTACCCACCCACCTCCTGCTCATTAACTCAACAGATAAAGTAGAATTTAAAATTGAAGCATGATATAGTATGTGCTAAAAGAGGAAATATGTAGAACACTTAGTCAGAGCTGTAACCTTGTCTTGGGAAAAGCAGTCCTAGCTGTTGAGAGACTACAGGCTCTCTCAAAGTCTACAGGGTCAAACTGTTCCCCAGAATGACAAGTTCCTGCCAGGAAGAGAAATACTAATTAATTCCCTGCCTTATTTTAATAATGGTTTCCTGGTGTTTAGATGTCTATGGCATTTGACTAATAAGAAAGGAAAAATTAGAGCTAGCCTGTGTATGTGTTTAATAGGGAAAACCCATTGGAAGAGCAGCAGTGAGAGTACTGCTTTAGAAATCTAGAAGGTTACAGGAATGGTACTAAAAATCCTAGAGGAAAATTCCCTTAGCATGCAAACTCAAAGTTTTGTTTGAGAGAGATCTTCATATGCTATCTCTTCTGTAAACAGTTGCAAACTGCTAGGAGGAGAATTTGGAATTAAGAAATTTCCTCTACCTGGTCTCTGGTCTTGTCTGGAGCTATGTAAAGTTCCGGATGCATCGGGTGCAGATTGAAACAATTGGAGTGAGTGGTCATAACTATAGTTATGTTACTGCGAGTCCTTGGGTTCCCAGGCTTCCTAAACAAACAATTCACTGATAACATGGAGTGAGCCTTATAACAGCCCATACCTGTTGAACAATAGATCAAATAGCTGCTGCTACCATCTTTCCCCAGGAGCCCAATCCTTTCAGCACTTTCCAATGCCAAGTGGTCTGTCTTAAACTACCTGGCTCAAATCCAGTGAATCATTTCATCATGGAATCAGAACCACCATTTAAAAGTTGCATGCTGCTTGCTACAGTTCATTACCATCCTGCTCGTTTGGGGGATTGAGGCTGGGTTGCTGGTATACACCCGGTTGTACTTAACTGACTTTTGCTCTTGCATGGCTAATGTCATAGAAACAGTGAACACTTAGGACTGCAGAACTCAAATCCTGGTGCTTTGCTCTTAAACATACAGATACAGTATAGAAATATAATTAATATAAATATAATTGCAACTTGTTTTATTATCAACCGGGGAAGCCAGACATCTTGGTTTAGTGATGTCTGAGGGAGTAAGGTTCCAAAAGTAAAAGGAAGAAAAAACCTCAAAGGTGTTTTTTAAATCTTTTTATCTGTTGTATTTTAAAGATCAAAAGAAAATATACAGAAGAAATTCTTAGCATAAAAGGCAGGTACTTTGTTTCCAAGCAGGTTTCAATTTTCTTCTTTCAAATGTCAGTCCTGCTTGTCTGTAGCAGAATTCAGTCAAGTTGGAAAGATTTTCTCACAGTGGTTGCTAAATTCTCTAATTCTCAGGTGTTTCACTATCTGAAGTTATAGTTCTCGGAAGTTAAATTTGGAGTATATTAGAGCAAGAACCTCTAATATTAGAACACATACTCTACTTATTATAATGCTTCATCATTCCTTACAGGCTCTCCTTGTGGGGCTAAACTTTCAGAGAAATGTTAAAAACTATAATACTGCAAGGACATCCTCTTGTAAAGTGAAAGCTTAACACAGATGTTCTCCTTAATGATATAACATACTCACACAGCTATTTTCGTGATACCAGTTCTCAAGGGCCCACTTCCAAAGGGATGATAAAGCATCCAGGTTCTCTTCTGTGTATCTTGATACTCAGAAGGGCTGAGCTGCCACATGTTCCAAACATCCTTGGAGGAGAGAGATAATAGGATTTTGTGCCTCTGAAAAATCTGATCAGGATTGTCTAAAGGCCTTCTCCAATAGCCTTCTAAACATTCTCAAATCTTTTTGAAATAAACCTATCTGGACTCACTTCAGTCAGCAGCTAGAAGGCAAATACTCCTGCATATGTGAAACATCATTTGGAACACTTGCACAAGCTCAAATTTACTGTAACATTTAGCAATAGCCACTCAGCTGTCTTGGATGAAAATGTAGCCACTGTCCTTCAAATGAAACTGGAATGCTGAACTTCTCCTAAGTGATTACTTTTTCCTCAATAGTCAAGAATAGTATTTCCCCACATACTGCAGCTGTGCTCAGGTATATGGAATCATGCACATAACTCTATCAAGGTCCATCCTATCTCTGTATGGACTTACTGAAGGGTGTGCAGCAGTGGAGTGACAGGGCTTGGTTCCTTGATTCACCTTGGTTCATCTGATTTAACCTTTTAAAATGAAAAGTGAATTACCAAATAGCAGAAGAGGCTGTGTGCAAAACTGCCTATGTAATCATCTAATCAAAAACTTTTATTGCTAGAAGGGTGATGAAGAACTGATGACTTTGAGCTTAGGGACAAACTGAATCTCCCTGTTACAGCGTATCTTTACAGTTTCCCCTGACTGATAGCAGCTGTACCATCCAGCCCTAAAATACAAACTTTCTGGGTAGCAGTAGTTGCTGATACAAAATATAGACAGCTTTTCTTAACTTGAAAACTAAAAAAAAAGTTAGTAAAGCTAGCTTTACTAGCTCTTATTTCCATACATACGTAAAGATGGGCTAAAGTCATGAAATCCATATCCGGATTTGATACTGAAACGGCAACAGTGCAGCAGAGGCACTTATCCTAAGCTTTTACCTGGCTAAAGACAGGCTGTCAAGTCCTCAATTGGTGTCATATAGCATAACTCAACTGACTCCACCACGCTTCACTACAGTTAAGCTAAGGTAGCTTATGAGAGCTGACTGCCAAGAGAATGGCTGGGAACAGGGAGAAAATAGTATAGACCGGTAGTGAAACAATACGATTTAGTGGTTTGTAAATACACAGAACAACACTGACATTGTGCAGACTGGTACCACATTTCCCCAGTGAATTCAGCACTGAGAGGGCCAATCCATCCCTATCCATTTTAGTCAGATTATTTGTGATGTCAGTGTTTCATTGGACTGGACTTTTTTTGTTGTTGTTAATACAGCTGCTGTTGATTCATCTGCACCAAGGAGTTTGCATACCAGTGTTAAATGTGAGTATAATTTTATTTTGTTTTCAAAACATGTCTGGCTTCATTTGTTTGGTTTAGAAATATTTGTCTTCTTTTTTGATGAAGGTGTTTTGGAGCAGCATTGGATGCAAAAATATGCATCATTCCAAGTGTGGTTAAGATAATGGTAGATGATAATTTTAACTAACAATTGATTCATGTTTGCACAAATGCATGCTAACTCCCAGACATTGGGGCTCTTTAACGTATATATAGCCTTAAGCAGCATGGTTGGTTGAGACAAGAATTGCTTGTTTAGTTTTCCGGTCTAAACTCAGAATTATTGTCTATGTGTATACTCCAGAACCGCCTGGACCTTTGAATTCCTTGATAATCGACATTATATTTTTCATTTCCTTCAGTGCTTCATGTGTCTCTGGGCATCAGGTATACAACAGCTGAAATAGTTTTTGATAAATTAATAATTTTTTTGTAAGAGAACATTACGCTGCACCTTAACGCCACCTGTTGGCTGAAGCCTGCAATGTTCAATGTGTAGGCAAATTCTTTCCTGCATTTCCTTTCTTGAAAGGAGAAAACGTTGATGGAAAGCAATGAATTCATCCCCTTCCCTGGAAAGAGTATTTACTGTGGAATGGGCCTAGATTTCTTCATTCACCAGGCTGAGAGGCATATCCTACTTCTCTGTTTTATAGTGACCTACATGGGAGCAAACACCCTTTCTACACAGAAGACTTACATTTTAAATCAAATGTTACAAGATGGTAAAAAGATTAGCATCTATTTTTCCACAGTGAATGCATAGAGGCATATTATATGTTAGACATCTGCAGTAGAATATTGCTCTTATACTGCTGAGTAATAATGTAGCGCTGTGTTTGGATTTTTTTTACATTTAGAAGCCTACATGAGTAAAAGGCTCCTGGTGCAAATAGAAGTCATGATGTAAGATTCTCAGTTGGAGGAAGTGAGGACTGAAAATGGGACCAAATATCAATTTTGTCTTTTAGCTATTAGTATGCCAATCTACTTTGTAATTGGGAAATTGGGAATTGGGAATCTACTTTGTAATTACGAAATGGCAATCACCTTTGTAATTTAGTATTTGTCTTTACTTAAAGATACTATGTATCAGCTAAGCACTTTTTTCTGACAGGTTAGCTTCTGTTTAGTATTTGCATATTCAAAGATACAAAGTAAAAGAAGGTAGTTTTGCCAGCCTAGTAGAATAATATTGAGGACAAAACTAATTTTCTGCTTAGTAGAAGATTACAGTATTTTCTTCTTTTCATGTAAAATTCTCCCCCATGACCATCGCCCACTATTGGTACTACTAGTTACTAAGTATGGTGTGTTTTTAAAACCTTGAAATTTATCAGAACGCACAAGAAGTTTGACAAATGCACATTCTGATACAACTTCTTACCAGTTCTCTGTGCATGCACTCTTGTAAATATATCCTTGCTTTCCAAATGTATGATCTATGTTGGATACCACCTGTTTCACTCATGGGCTGCAAGAAGAAAATATAGGTCATTCCATAATGATGCAGGCATGTGCAAACCTACTGAAGATGAAAATTCAAACAGCTGCCCAGATTAATTCTGAAAAGACAGAAGAAATACAGTATACAGTGCTTTGTTTCATTTTCAGAATAAGTGCACTGCAGATGAAGCACTGTGTAAACAATTAGCTCTTTTGACAATCTGAACATTTATAAGATGTCTGTGTTGTAGCACTTTGGATTAATGACTATGTAGACAAGACGGAAAACCTGCAATGTATAGGACTGCCGCCTGAATATCTTCAAGTATATCTTGGATTTTAAATTCCAGGGTTTATGATCGTATGGTTCTAAATTCCGTACTTTATTGTTCTGTATTTTATTGTATTCTGTACTTCATTTTATTTTTTTATTGTCTAGCACTTTTGCTGTGTTAGATATCATAAAATTACCAATGTTGCAGTTGATTAAGTGTCATTGAATTAGCTGTAGGTATTTCATATAAGACAGTCTTCTAATGACCTTTAAAACTGGTTTATAAAGCACTGCAAGTGGTAGCATTGTTACAGTGCAGAAGTGACAGTGTAATAGACATTCCTGAATTAAAATGGAGTTTTTACATCAAGAGAAATTTGAACTCACCAAAACAGTGCATTAGTATCTGACCTTTGTTAGTCATAGCTTTACTACCTAAAATTCTAATAAAACAGCATAAAAATACAATATTCCTACATTTTCTGATATAGCAAACCTGAATGTAGTTCTGCACAAGCTTGTTGCAGCTCTTCAGAATTACTTATGATGCTGTACAGTCATAAGTACAGCCAATGACAAGAATGGTAAAGACTTTACATATCACATGTTGGTGTCAAAGGAAATCCTTGGCGCAGGTACATTTCCAGTATGCAATAGCAACAGCCTTTTGTTAGTGTTATGAGTGGGCAAAAGTAGATCAGAAGATTTTCATTTGTCAGATTGTGAGGGATGGACCAAATTGTTTCAAGGTGTAAGAAAAAATAAGAGTGTTGGTTTCTTTTTGGAGCTGCAATATTCTTTCTAGTGAGGTGCACAGCTAGTCATGGATTTTTTTGTCTTATGGGCTATTCTTGTTGGAGAGTTTAATGCTTTTGCTTCTGGGTTTAGGAAGTAATATCAAATTTTCAACTATCAGGTTCAATTCTTTGATCAGGAAAAACTTGAAAAAAGACTTTAATTTGTGCCATGACAGCACTGTAGTTCTTTACTACTTCTTGAACAATGATGTTTTTTTTATGATGGATTGTAATAGTTTCATACAGGGTTATATAGATCTTAAGCAGCTTGATTCTGCCGTGATAAAATCATGCAATTAATGAAGACAGGTGGGTAAAGAACTGTAAGAATATGTGAGGTCTCCACAAGGTTCACCTCTGGCGCTACCTAGGGAAAAATCATCAATTTTTGTGAAATAGTAGCTGTATCTCTTTACATTCAGAATAGCATTCAAAACTGCTGCTGAAATTGCATGATCTTGTAAAAAAAGTTAAAGAGAAACAACTGACACAAGGCCTCCTGAGCAGTCCTCTCTCCAGCATATAGCTGGCTTTGTTAAAACAGTAAGACTGCATCTTTGGTGCTCTCGTGCTAATACTAGCTGCCCATTTTTCAGTTCTCGTCAAAGGATGGAAACATGTTATCTATCCCCTGCCTTAAGACTGGAAGTATTAGCTTGAGGTGCATCAGAGATCAGGAACATGGGAGATACAGGTTATCATTATAAGCATTCTTGTGGAGATGAAGTTAAACAGAGCTGTTTTAAAAGTCATGAAAGTGGCATGACTTAGGAAACTACAGTGAAAACAGTGATTCAGTGACCAGCCCAGTACTGAAAATGTCTGAAGTGGAAGACGTTTACTCTTTTTACTCTCAGCAGAAGTCACATTTGCTACAAAAAGCGTCTGATGAGTATGGAAAGAGCATAAACTGTGCCACTGAACCTACCAGTTTCATAAGTGTCTGAGTGATGAAAACCAAGAATTTTTGTTGCAAAGGAAATGCAAAAGTTCTGGAAAAAAAAGTAATTCCATTATGAGGCATTTGTTTTATTCCAATGGCAGGGAAAATCTAAAATCATTTTGTTTGAAATCAAATATCTTATTTAAAACCAAACTGAATTTGAGAGTTAAACTTATCTGTGACTCCTAGGAAGTCCTACAGATTCCTCAGTTATTAGGGATTAAGAGCTACAGCTGAATTACATTCTTGGAGCTTGGAAACATGAGACAGAGTTCCCATGGTTTATAAACTCCAGAATTCTCTTCCAACCAATGTTTCTATGATACTATACTGCTCTGTCCCAAAACCTAAAATCCCCAGATCTCAAGTTTGAGTCAGATCTCCTGAGGCTGATCAGCTCAGTAAGAAGAGCAGAAACCTTGGCTGACCTGCACATGAAGCTGTCCCACATGAGCTGGCTGGAAACTAGGAAAAACTTAACAGAAAAACTTAACACTTTTTGAAAGATTGATCAAAACCAGTCCTAAACTGGGGAACCCATAAAGGTAAACCCAGTGTTCATGCAGGACAATGAGCCACCCGGATTGTTAGCTGATTAGTCCAGCAGTCTCTAAAAATCCCTTACTGAAGCTCAGCTCTTTGGTTCCATCACAGACTCAGTCTACCTGTCCCAGGAAGTGTGGCTGTCTGGGGCACCCTACCCTAATTCTCTTCCGACTCTTTCATTCCAGGACAGGAACGAGAGCAGCTCCACCAAGGCCTGCTCTGATATATGGTTTCTGTCCATTTTGCAGTATCTGCTGTGCTTCCATCAGCCATATTGGATGGCAATCCAGGAAAATAAGCTCACCAGCGCTGTCGGTGGTGAGAAGCCTTGGTATGAAGTGGTCAGCTGCTTCAGGCTCACTCTGCACAATTTAAAGAATCTCCTGACGGAAGAAAATCTGGAGTAAATCTGGCTCTCTGGGCGCACTCTTGGGTCGCCAAGTCCTTGGTATTAGGACAAAGCTATTCCCTCTCCTCTCTGTTGAGCTAGCATTTAATTGCCAAGCCAAGGTCCACTACTTATAACTTGAAGATGAGCTCCTCACACCATTGCGTGTTCTACACCGTCCCCTTGCCCTTCTAGGAGTACAGTGTATGCATTTTACCCAAAAGGAATTATGAACAATATTATATGTAAGTAAATGCAGCTAGATAAGGCACACTGTTTCTCCTTCGCACTGTCCTGCTCTGACTCATTTTTATAAATATGAAACCCAAACATACATATAAGTGTGTGCAGATACACATACGTGCTTTAGTAATTGGAAAAAGGAATGTTAGAGTTCTTGAAGATGTCTTATTTTTCCATCTCCCAACAGAGCACTTTAGTTTGTAGATATGGCACACAGTGTTCTTTTTATAAACTGTGTTTTTCTCTTTCTAATTTTCTGCATGAGACAGACATTAGTCAAAATAATAATTTCCATTTGGGTTTTTAAACAGTTTAAAACTTAGTTTCTGTGTGACTTTTGAGACA